CACACACGCACACACACACTCAGTTGTATAACAGAAGCATAGAAGCAGGGCTATGGGTTAGTGCATTGGAGGCTCTGACCATCCAGATATCCAAAGACCCACAATACAGCGGCAGCCGCTTCACCAAAACACTTGCAGAGACGCTGAGAGGACTAACACTTAAAGAAACTCATCACTACTACTAGTAATATCCAAACCAAGAGGAACTGCTGCATACAGTACATAGATGATCTCTGACATGCTGACGTGCTTTAAGGTACACCTGTAAACAAAGCTGTTTTATAAAGATGTAGATTGTTCACAGGTCGCCATGTAACACTTCTGTTCTTTCTCCAGCTTGGCATAACATGATGTATTCTTGTATATTAATGCTTGACTTATCTCTCCAGGGCATTCTTTCTAATTTTTGCTTGCGATTTTCTCTTCCTTTTTTTTCTGCACCTGTTTAGCTATTGTAAAGCTTTCAGCTCTGATTCCTATACTGTACTGCTAATGCTGAAGTATATGTATTTATCATATTAAGTGCTGCAGGTATCTTGGTTTATTAGTTCTGTTTTCATTTTGTTTGTTTCCACTTTTTCAGTTCTTCATAAAACGTCTGGGACGCTGATTTTTTAAGTGTATTATCTCTAAAAAAAAAATTAAAAGAATAAAAGGTAGATCAGTGGTTTAGGTAACACCTGTTTGTATATTTATCTTAGCTAGGTCTATTTTGATACTTTTTTGTCTCTGTACTGCATTTATGCATTTTTAAGGAAAGAAAAAAACAAATGGAAAACAAACTAAAAAGTTTCTTCATTATGTATTGATACCTCAGAAGGACTTTTTCTCAAAGACAGGACCAAAACCTCTGAAAAGAAAAAGAGAAAGAGGAAAAAGTATAAGAATATGTAGCCCCTCTCTTGCTTTAAAAAAATGCGGAGCTCTAGAAAGGTATTGCTGTTGGTCCTCTCAGGTGCCAATATGTGTCCCAGCTCCCTGTGACCCCTCCCTCTGACCCCTGACCCCTGTCATTCCTGTGCCGAACTCCGACCCGCAGAGCTGTCAATCATCTGCAGGCGCCATGGGGGTGTCACTGAGCCACACACCTGGCTGGTGGTGACCAGTAACAAACCTCATCTCCCAGTCCCACAGAGGCAGATCAAAGACAGACACTGTTGCATTTTTGATACTCCTCCTCTTGCGTAGTCTCAATACCAAAATGTGGAATGGCGCTCAGAGATGCAGCCAATCCTCTGACTACCAAAGGCATTACAAGCAACCATTTGCTTAGTCCAAACTCCTGAACTGTAACCAAACTGTAACCAAACCAATGCCACAACCTTAACCAAACAAAAACCAAGCTACTTCCAAAACTCTCCATCGACTTCACTGATCACCTTTACTGATAGCTGATATCTCTCGTGCATCCACGTAATGGTGTTATAGGACCAGCCTGCATCCTATTGGCTGGTGAGTGACTGACACAGGGAGCCCAAATCCTGATGTGTGATTGGACAGTTCTGAGGTGTCATGTGAGGGGGAAGGGACTCTCAAAGTGGAGCTTTGCCTGACGGTATTATCAAGTAGACAGCCAGAATCCAATGGAACTACCACTTCAGTTCTCCTTTGGTTAAACCTTAGGAATGTGTGTACATTTTCAGCAGTGACTCTCTGAATTGTTTCTTAGTTTCAGTTTACCTGTTTACCTCTCTTTATCCTTTGGTTTTTTTCTGTTTCTTGTTATTTGAAAGTGTGACCCGAGGAAGAGGCGGGGACAGGGACTGGGTGGTGGCTTTAGACAGACAGTGGAGCCCAGCCCTCTGACCCTCCACCCCGGGTAGCCATGTAATGCCAGTCACTGCCCTTTCCTTCATGCTGTATAAAAACACACACATATATCTGTGTATTTGTAACCTGAATCTTCTTGTGTCTGTCCATGCAGACAATAAAAAAACTGTACAGTAGGTCTAGTTGCATGTAATCTGTACTAATTATTGACAATGGCATTATAAAATGCAATAAAATACTTATTACACTGTCCTATGTTGCATCCTTTTTGTTTCTTCTACAGATGTCTATAGCAGTGGTTACCAACTTGTGGGACCATCAAAGGGGCCTCAAGATAAATCTCTGGGGCCTCAAGATGTTAAACAGAATAGGAAGGTTGAACAAATATATTCCTGCCACACATATTTCTGACTTCATTCTAATCTTTGCTTTTCTGTTGTGGATTACTGGTTAATTTTACCTCTTTAGACCGCATACAGATATTGAAATATATCAGTCTACGAAAGAAAGATTACCCACAACTGCTACACATAATGCAACCCATGACGAGAGGCTGCAAGCAGACGCTGTATGTTTTAAATGGTAAAAAGCCTAAAAGTTTTAGAGCCACTTTTGGAAGGACGCCCTTAAAAGAAGTTACTACAGATGAATACTTTCTTTTATGTTATGGTTCCTAAAAAAGAATTAGCCTGCCCTTCTATAATTATCTTGAAATATTATGTTTAACTATATCCAAATCTGTAAGTAAAGCTAGTTGCAAAATATGTACATAGACTGGAACACAAAGACACCTGCAGAGCATAATGTAATTCAGTTCAGGAGCCCTGCAACAACTAGCTTCAATTGTGCTGAGATGGTGTCAAAGGTGTTGATTCTACTCTGCTGTCATTTTTGAGCTTGCATTTTATATTCAATGCCCACCCTGCACCCTATCGAGATGAGATTACATATCATACACAAACACAAACTGAAAAGGCAGTGCTATATTTGCAGAAAATATACAGTATCACATCTAGCTACTATAATTTTCACAGTGACCTCTGCCAGACTATTTGTCATATAAGTGCTCCACTCAGTCTACAGTCTCCAACTGCTATAATTAAGGAAAGAATAATTAAGGCAACTACTGTTACTGTTCCCTCTTAGCATCCTGTTAAATCATTACTGCTGCTGCACAATATGTTCCTAATAAAATCATGTTTACCTGAAACACACTAACCTAGCATCTAACTGTTACATTTAAAATATTAACATGTGTATGTGTACAATTCTATGTCTTGTATGATCTTGTAAGAATGCTGTATGACTTTTATGTCCGTGTGTTATTAAAAAAATGGCAACCACTGTCTCAAATTGTTATGAATGGAGTTACCTTGAGAACAGTTTTTTCCAATACTACCTGATCCTTTACTATTTTAATAGTTGAGTTCTTAAGCTCTATATACAACATAATGCATAATAATAATAATAATAATAATAATAATAATAATAATAATAACAATAATAATAATAAAACATAATATACTTATTTTTGTTCATAGTCTTCATGTAAAAAAACGTGTCACATAGCCTTTAAAGAATGCATCAACTCATTCCTGTGGTGCCTTCATAGTGTACTAATTAGTCAAGCCTACTTGTAAACCTCATTAGATGACAAATTGCTGCCCAAACGGTAACTTTTCCTTGAGTTACAAGTTCAGCCTATGCCAGTCCTGCAGACCTTCAGAGAGGTCAGCATGTGTTGTGATACAAAGTGTGGCCACCAGGAGGAGTAAACAAACCGGACAACACAAGCAGCATCTCATAAACACAAACCCAGCAACAAACATCACTGTGCTCCACTGACATAGTCTGACCAACAGGGTGGGCCAGAGAGTACAGAACATACAAAAGCACTGAGTGGACTACCTGTAGTGTTTGTGATGGAGTGAATACAATGAATGCAGGTGGATGCAGTCCTATGAGATTATAAACTAGATGCTGTATATGGTAGAAACACATTTTTGTGACCTATCTATACCTTTTTATTCACCCACCTTCTCCGGTTTTCCCTCTCCTTCTTTACCTGTGTCTCCTCGCAGGTTTGGCGCATGCCCTACAGCTTATCTTTAAACTTCTGCGCTGCATCGTGGATGTGTTGCCACAGGGAGGAAAAATGGAAACTGGCTGGATGTTTTTTGGAAAGTTGAAACTTTGTTTAATCTTGTGCTTTTAGTGAACTTCTCCGTTAGTCAGCTGGGAGGAAACTCACTCTTGACGCTTAAATCCCTGTGACATTTGGTTTTGGTAGAGACCCCATACTAAGCCTATTACACACACATGCACACACATACACATACACATACATACAGAAACACACTCACTGGCATACACACATCATGAATACTAAGCAGAAACTTAGTACTATATACTTGTACAAGGTGAGCCAGGGTGCAGAGCAACACACAAAGAGGTTATTCTTGGCGTGGCCCAGTAGTGTTTGGCATAAACCTGAGTCTGAAGCTCTGAATGTATTTCTTAATGCTCATCTGGACAGACTAAGCTGTAGGTGTGTGCACATGAGTGTGTGTATTTGCAAACCTGTGTTTTTGTGTCTGATGAAGGATTTGTACAGATGTTTATACATCTGCTTGCCTGTGCATGTGCATGGATTTGCAATGCTAAATCAATTTGCATTGGGTGGGTGTAGAGGGTCTGCTAGTCCCAGCAGCATGGAGAGCACTGAGGTCCAGGCAGACCCTGTGAGTCACAAAATAAATTTACTGAAAACCATGCTAACATCTCTCTCTGTCTCTCCCCAGTTCACTCTCTCTGTCATCCTCCCCCTCACCCTTCTTCCCCTCCATGTCTGTGGCTGAAGGAGGGGGCTATCCTCCAAACAGCATATTGACTCACTCAACACTACAAAACATACTGTGTATCTGCTGCTGCATGTGTCCACATGGATCTGCTTATTGAGGCTAATGAGCTGAGGCTCTGTCTTTACTGCTCTGTCTTGGCTTTACTTCCTCATTGCTTGTGGTCCCACAGATCCAACTGCTTTTTTTTGCCTTAAACACTTTTTTTTTGCTTTTCTTTAGACCTTGTTTGACCTTAATCTGTAGAAACATATTAAAATTGTAACCATTCTCTTTGGCACAACTGTATAGTTGATAAAGCTGACAAAATATGGAATGGGCTATGAATGAACTATATATTCTTTTT